GGTAGAACAGTAATAGCAGTTTCACTGCGCTGCTTTTTCAAAGGCACAAGGAACTCGCTTTCACTCCCCAAATACCTTACTTTCTAAAGTACAAAGGGGAAATTTTACTCACTAGCATCACGCCGTCCTCAGTGAGAACATTCAAGTACTGATCGCTTATTGTACCTGACCCCCAAATGCGATTAAAGAGACAAAAGGGGATGTCTTGCCCAAAATAAGGGATTTGCTCAAATCTGCTGGTGGAAAAACCCACCCAACCCTCCTCTGCAGGGTAATTCACACACATTTTAGTTGCTATCAGTCCATGCTTTTGTGTATTAAAGCGGGACCTCAGTTTCTCTATCTCTCTGGCCGTTTGGAAGCGCGGACCCAAAGTTTGCTGCGAAGACAGGGCTTGCCACTGGGTCAGCAGCTCTTATTCCTCTGTCTACTTGGTGTCCAGTGTGCTGCATAGCAATTGACCATCTCCCTCTAACCCAGAAGTAGTTGCACTTTAGTGTCCCAACCAAGCTTATGCAGAATTATTAAGCGATGTGGGTTCTTTGGGGATGGAATTCGCTACAGTGTATACTACACATTAAACGTGTTGCTATAAAACTTCAAACGTCTGTTCACAAGTAAAAATTAAACACTATGTCTGGAAAAACAAACTTGCAAAAACAAAACAGAGCGGTATTTTTGCAACATATATGATATAATCATGCTTAATAAACTGGAATGGACTGTTGGCAAAAATGTATTTGCACAGTCCTGTTTCACTTAAACTCAATCATTATTCTAGAGATGTTTAGTTAAAACAGGTTTCAGAGTGGTAGCCATGTTAGTCTGTATCAGCAAAAAGAATAATGAGTACTTGTGGCAATTTATTTGAGCATAAGTCCCCCTGGGCCAAAACCCACTTCATCGGATGCATGCAGTGGAAAACACAATAGGAAGATACATATACACACAAAGACACGGCTGTTACTCTGAAACCTGTCATATACACACAGAGAACATGGGCTTATGCTCAAATAAATGTATTAGTCTCTAAGGTGCCACAAGTACTCCTCCTTCCTTTAGTTGTTGCCAGATACAACTGGTATTTGTCAGGTGGATGCCAGAATTGCTATATTACACTTGGAAGTTTAACCCAGTAAAACTATCTCACAGTCATACAGGCAGATTTTGGCATAAATCGGGCCACGCAGTTTCTAGTTAATGTTGCCAAATGCTAGAAGATTTCAGGCGGTGGTTGAATAGTCATTATGCAAAGTGCTCATTAGCACCTTCTTAAGTGGTGAGAGGGTGTTTCTGCCCTGTCCTTTTTTTCCCGCAGTAGTTTTCTCCCAGCGCCCAAAGCCAAAGACAAAAGGACTCCCGTTCAGGAATCATTGCAATGCACAGTGATATGCTGCATCGTTTTCACGCACCCGGGCCTAACCCTTATAGCTAAACTTTGAAATGTATCTATCAAATAGGAATATTTCCAGCTGTCTGGATGTAATTTCCACACGTGCAAACAATGTGCGTGCATGCAACACACACGAAATCGAGACCAATGTGGCGTTATCCCAACCTTATGATTTTGTTGTTGAAGGGAGAACGCTGGGAATGCGATTGTATGTATGCACCCCATAGCAAGGCAATACGCATGGGGTTACATTACAGCATGATATAGTCTTAAATCCTGGTAGGGGCAGAGAAACTGGGAATGAGCAGTTGCTACTAATTAGTTTGTGAAGTATTGTGCATTCATTATAAAACCAGATATGGTTGTATGTGATTATTTGCACTATGATCAAATTCTCTTGCTTTTCTAACTCAAGCCTACTTCTAAAGGGGCCCTCCTGTGAAGAGAAGGCCAATTAGACCATAAAAGGAGACCTTAAGCATAGGTGCTGACACTAGGGGTGCTCCCTACCCCTTTACTTTAAGTGGTTTCCATCATATGCGGGATTTACAGTTTGGTTCAATGTCTCTCAGCACCCCCACTACAGAAATGGTTCCAGCACCTCTGGCCTCAGGCGCTGTAGGGGCAGCTAACTAGGAGCTGTTTGAAGAAGTAGCTTTACTGCCCTGTATGTGAAGTGCTGGAGATGAGGAAGATAACATGCAAAGTGTAATACCTTATAGGCAGTCAGATTCCACAGCTACTGCATAGCTCAGACCCTTGCAATTATTTTATTGCCCTTCAGAAACCACTGTCATTTCGGGGTCCGTGCAACGAGTAGCTACTGCAATGGCTAACTGAGCAGTTGTCCTGGAACTGGAAAGTCCTCAGCCCAGTTATTGAAATAAAGAATTTTAAACAGAAGCCCAAATAGAAGGAAGTGATAGAGGCAATGCAGGCTCCTCCTTTGCGTCTCGCCGGGTTCCTGAGGTGCCTTCCCAAACCCCAGAAATGGACTCCCAGGGACAAAGTACATGAGGAGGAGCTGTGAGCAGGACAGCTATTTCTGAGTGAAATTAGAGTGGAAGAAAGAGAAGGGATGGGGTGAAGGGGGAGAAGATGCTATGGGAAGGAGGATTTGCTCCAGGTTTGAATTTCTAGGGGAGCTTCCATGAGCCCTGATTCTTCATAAAATGTTTTGTGAAAGCCAGACAGCCTGGGGGCATTTTCATAAAATAAGAAATCTGAGACCCTCGCAGTCGCTTCTTCCCCAGGGCCTTGTGAACTTGTGTTATGGGCCCTGGTGATGGAGTTTCCTGATTATCATTCCCATGTCTTCCCTTCCCGCTCCCATAGCGGCACTACCTGTGCGCTCTCCCTCTCCATTCGGGTTTTCTGACTCGTATTTGCGTCATCACCTTCTCCTCTCCTGTTTTTTTCCTTCTTTCAGTTGTCTCCCCTTTCCCCCATCTTTCAGCCATGATTTATCTCCTCCCTGCCAGTCAGGCTAACAGCCAGGAGGCTTCCCATCCTTCAGATGAGAGTGGGGAAATAATTACTGAATGGGTGGGTCTTGGGAGCAGGCTACTTATGCCATTCACTAATACCTTCAAACTTCACTTTTTTCCAGGCAGGAAAAGCAGAATCTGCCCACCCCCATCCAAGGCATTTTGAAGCTGAGTTCCATGCCCCACTTTATAGTGTATGGGTTTTAGTGAGTTACTCTAATCTTTGCCTGTATAACAATAATCCCATGAAGTATATAACAGACACAATAAAGCAGATAAATTTAGAGGCTTTCATGTAAACGCATATAGACATTGACTGATGGACCCTCTTTAAAATTTGGCTGCTTTAGACCTGATAAGGTATCTACCATATGAAGAGGAGTACCTGTGGCACCTTAGAGACCAACAAATTTATTCAAGCACAAGCATACTCTGAAATCTACCCTATGAAAGCTTCCTTGGAGATATCTTAATACATTAATACATTGAAGAGGTACAGGTTTCAGAGTAACAGCCGTGTTAGTCTGTATTCGCAAAAAGAAAAGGAGTACTTGTGGCACCTTAGAGACTAACCAATTTATTTGAGCATGAGCTTTCGTGAGCTACAGCTCACTTCATCGAATGCATACCCTGGAAACTGCAGCAGATATTATATACACAGAGAGATCATGAAACAATACCTCCTCCCACCCCACTGTCCTGCTGGTAATAGCTTATCTAAAGTGATCATCAAGTAGTATTTAAATAAAATACAAAAAACCAACAGTGAATCTCACAGCAAAATATAAATGAGCCAGACTAACCAATACTTTATCTTTGGATTTTATTGTAGGCAACTTTACACCTGATTAATTCTATGGAGTTTCCAAATATCATTATGATGGGACCCCAGACTGACAGGAGTCTAAGATAACAAAGACTTTGCAAGGCTGGATCAATGATAATAGTAAATAGAAAAGTACATATGGATTAGTCTGGGTGGGATGAGTTCAGATGAGTATGGTGTTATTTTGCAGAAGGCTTCCCAGAAGCACATTTCCAGGAACATCTATATTTTTAACATTGTCATTTAACCACACTTGGTTGAGCAAGGGATTATTTATTTTTGCATGTTAATTTGTTAAAACAAAAACAAACAAACAAAAAGGGAAATACCCTACCCTTTCATGGTACTTGGTATTAAAGAAATCTCAAAGGACTGGGTGGTGTTTTTCAGGGTGGGGAGTTAAAATGTTATACTTTTTTAAAAAATTGCCTATCTAATTTGTCTATACACTTTGGGTCTTTTAAAAGGTATCCCCCAATAATTGGCTGGCTAGCACAAAAATACATTTAAAATGTAGCACTAGTGTATAAATATTAAAAAGTAAAGTGCACTAGCCAGTCTGCTATGCACACACATATGTAGTTTTGTCCATGTCATACTTGTTCCACCACAGACTATCAGGGCCTCTCATATAAATCTGTCTTCCATTCCTTTCTAATTTGGCAAAACATAGTAGTTCCTCCAGGTCAGTCACTACTGTGATTGGCCTGATCCTGAAAGCCCTTGCTCAAGGTTACAAGAGTAATCCTACTGATGTAGCTATTTGTTTTTCACGTGAATAAGAGCTGCAGGCCCTATTTTGGACCATCTCTTAGAATTACCATTGTATGCTTAAATGTAGGAAGCTGATTTCCCAGAAATTAACACTGTATTTTAGATGCATGAATAAATCTGAAAATGAATCCTATGGTCAGTATATATTAGTGCTGTCAGATTAAATAAAATAGAAGCAGACCCACCCAGGGAGTAGTTGAAGACACAGGGCACAATCTTGTTCCTGTTTGTGCCAGTAGCAAACTTCCTATGGTGAAATCCTGGCCCCACTGAAGTCACTCAGTAGGCGTTTTGCCATTGACTTCAGTGGAGCCAGGATTTCACTCCTAGTCATTTAAACTGGATCATGATGGAGTGTCTATAGTAGTAACAGTTTTAACCAGAGCAGGGCAAGTACAGGAGCTTCTGTAACAAGGGTCAGGCAGCAGCACTAAAACGCAACACAGTGTGAAATCCTGACGGCAACCAAGTCCATTGAAGTCAATGGGAATTTTGCCATGAGCACAGGATTTCACCCATTGTGTGCACACTGCAAGGTTCAACACTTTGTTGGCTGCTGGGTGGTTTGGCAGGGTACTGAGTTTCTCCCGGTTAGGAATCTTAAACTCTCAAGTCACTTCCCTAAAAAGGTGCTCTCCAAGCCGAGACTATTAAACCAGCCCAGACTGAAAATCTATATAGGAGCCTATTCCAGGGCCCATGGAAGGGAAAGGTTTGAGTCAGGGTCTTGGAGATTAGTTGACATCCTGAATTTAGGAGGGAGGGAAGGAGGAAGGAAAGAAAGAGGCTGTGTTCACGGTTATGGCAAGTAAGGGATCCCAAGGTCTTGTGCAAGGAAGCAGAGTGAAAGCTGGTAGGTGTTTGGTTTTATTGGACCATACCTCATCATATTAATACTCGACCCCATTATCCACATGTAAGTGTCCGTATAAAATACTGTCGCTATGTAAGAGGGGATCGCATCATAAACACAGCAGGCAGTTACAAGCCTAGGCGACCCCGCGGAGCCAGCGTTAGTGCAAATCCTTCTCTGAGTCACAGGCCAGCCCAGCGAGTTCAAATGGGCAGCAAGAAAGCCCTGGAGTCTCTGTAGCCCACAAAGCAGGGCGCCTGCCAAAAGCCTGGCTCCCCCGCGTAGGTGCTGGCGGGGCTCAGGGCAGAGGCTGGCAGTGCTGGGAAGGCGAAGCTGGTGGGTAGGGCTTCCTGCCTGGGGAGGTGAGCCAGGAGCTGCTGCTGAGCCGGGTAGACATAGTGCAGGGGCAGAGTCCCGCCTCGGGCTCCGAAGGGGACGGGGCTGTAGAAGGGCTCCGGCCTTAGCTCCTGCAGCTGCCGCTTCAGCTTCATGCGCCGGTTCTGGAACCAAGTCTTGATCTGTGGGGAGGAGAAACACAGTCACCCAGGAGCCCCCAGAGAGCCCGGCCCAGCCTGCAGCCAGCCGCCAGGCCCGCTCACCTGCACTTCGGACAGCTGCATCTTGGCGGCCAGCTTGCGCCGCTCGGCCGAGCCCAGGTACTTGTGGCGCTTGAAGGAGCTTTCCAGGGTGCTGATCTGCTCCACGCTGAAGGCGGTGCGCAAGCGGCGACTGCCCCTGGCGCCGGGCTCCTCCGGGGACTGGCACTCCGACCGGCCGCTCTCCCAGTCGGAACCGGACTCCGCGGCGCTCCACGCCCGCTTGGCTGCGGCGGGTGCTGCAGCTGGGCACAGAGAGGAACCAGGTCAGCCCCGCTCAGAGCACTCCAGTGGTTGGAGACCTAGAAGGGGCTGCAGGGCTCACGCTTCCTCGGCCATTATACACCACTAAAGGACGCAGCGGCGCACAGATGACTTAGGCTTTTCCTGGCACGCAAATCAGCAGTTTTCCGGGGCGATTATTATCTCCTAAATGGAAGTTAGGCACCCAACCCTCTCAAAGCTGCGGCTCAGCTAGTGCCTGGCCCCCACATAGCCCTTGGCCCCATAGGCGCTCCAAGCCTGTTACCAAGGTGAAACCATAGGACTCCTCTTGGAGGCTGGTATAGGGAGATCAGATGACTTGCCCAGTGTCAGATCTGGAACCAGTGGTAAACGGGGAAATTGAACTCAAGAGTCCCGACCCCCGTCCTATGCCCGGCCACCTAGACCATCCCCAGGGTCCAATCCCAACTCTACTGAAGTCAGCGGCAAAACCCGCACGGGCTTCAGTGGGGCCAGGATTTCACCCTTTGTGTCCCAATACGCTTAGCAAAGAATAATGCACAATTCTCCTCCCTCCACTCACTGTTACAAATACCGAAGAGATAACAAGGGCAAGCATTCATTGGGATGGTCTTTAAAGTACGATAGTACATGCAATTATAATCACCTATAGAGGAGGAAGAATCCAAAAGCTTCTCACTCCTGTGGTCCTTCTTAGAAGAGGTGTCCAGGGTCTTTATACCTTCACCCTTCTTCTCTGTTTGGCTTGCGGTTTGGTGCGGTTGTGGGTTTGTTCTGGAGTTGCAGACTGGATTTCCGAGTTGGGTGAGCAATCCATGTGATGCAAAAGTCCTGCTCTGAGTACCTTCTGCGTAGCTGCTGGGCCTTTGCTGTGGTTCATAGGTGCCCTGGCTGCTCTGGGAAAGCCACTCTACAGAGAAAGGGGCCTTAGTCATCCTGGCGGTCTTCTCTTTCAACACAAACTAGGGGAGGATGGATTTTTGAGCAGCAGAATCAGAGAATGCCTCTCTCTGGGTTGCTTCTTTTATAAAGGGAGCCCCAAGGAAAATGTTGTGTATGTAAACAAACATCAAAGGCCCAGATAAGTATCGTCTAATTGCCATCAGGTCTCCCCCACAAAAGATGTTGTTCACACATTTTCCAAAGCTCGGTTAGGGTTGGCTCCACAATGTCTGCCAATAGATTAGTGAACTCTGTTGTAAGTGATTTACAATACTTGTTACATCCTATCCCTATGTAAATGGCACTTATTGCTTGAACTCACAGAAGCTTCAAAAGACAATCGGGAATTTAAAGAGCTTTTCTCTAAAAGAATCAGGTGTTTAGAAATGTACTTTATTCAATTCATATTTTAAGAATACTATACTTGAGTGAATTGGTAATTTCTACTTTCTGCAGACAACGGAGTGGGAATTAAGATTTCCACAGGTCTAATTTAAATTTGAGATTTTACAAGTCCAGAAATTAGGTTTGTTACATTTTATATGTATATGTTTTTAACAGCTAATTATGAGCCATTGTTTTACTTGGACTGTTTTGACAGGGTGGAGCGGAACATGCTGCTTTATGGATATATAAGAAAAAGTCCCTGCCCCAAAGGGCTGGCAATCTAAAGCCTTGATTCTGGATTTGACTCTGTGCAGTCAGACTGCTGCACTCTCACAGAGCCCTATTGATTTCAATATGGGATCTGCCCCCACACAAAACAAATTGCAGGACTGGGGCTTTGGGGTGGGCCCAGTACACACATCTTATTGCTGGGCATAGTGCTTGCTTGCTACAACAGCCATTAGTATTTAGCTGTGGGATGAAATCCAATTTGACACACTCTTCATGCACAGGACTCCTTTTGACATCACTGGGATTACCACTTGCAGCAGCATCAGTCAGACTATACATTACAGATGTAGGAAGAGATGGTGTAGCTGGTGATCCCAGGATATTAGAGAAACAAGCTGGGTGAGATAATCTTTTACTGGGCCAACTGTGCTCTAGCAAAAGATATTACCTCACCCACCTTGAATGTCTAGACTCAGGAAAAGACATGAGGAAGGGAAGGGTGTGAAACTGGAGTGTTTAAGTAGGCCAGCTTCTTCTTGATTCTCATTTTCTATTATACAGATAATGTATATATTTTATGTAATTATGGATTTATTCTGTTTGTTCATTTTCATATCATATTAGTGTAATATGATTGATTTTAGATTTATATATGTACTATATAACTATGAAAGGACAATACCTGTCCTGGCTAAATCTCAGGCTTTGTATTCCATCCTCATCTGCATTGACCTCTCTCATGCTTTCACATTGTTGATTACATGCAGCTTCTTGACACCTTATCCTCCTTTGTCTTTCAAAACTGTTCTCTCCTCCTTCTATTCTTATCTCTCCCTTCAGACACTCCTTGGGCAGGATCTCTGTACTTCCCCTCTCCCACTGTTCTTGTCTTCTTGCTCTTTTATTTCTATACCCTCCTTCTGTGGGATCTCCTCTGGTCGCTCAATTTCAATAGCCATCCTCACTCCAGCATATCTTTCCACTTCCAATTTCTATATTAAATCCTGAAACTTGGCCTGTTACTCTGACACACTTGCTGGATTTCTCATCATTCACTTCAGTTTAACATCTCCTGGCCTTTCATTTCTGTCACTGTTGAGAATGCCACCATCTCCATCAATCAAATCTGTAAGGGAAGGGTTCATCTTCAATAATTCCTGCCCAGACCCTCATCATGTTGTATCTTATTTACTGCAACCTCCCTGAAATCTACAGCACACCCTCCAGTCCATTCAAAACAGTTGCTAGAAGCAGTCTCCTTTCCCAGTACTCCTGGCTCATCACCCCCCTTTTTGAATCCCTCCACTTAACTCACTGCATGAAGTTCAAACTTGACTTTTAAGACCCTTCACAGCTCTGCCCTTCCCTACTTGTTCACACTGTCCTACTACTCTGAAAACTGTCCTACTCTGCTCTGCTGGTTTGTCAGCATTTCACACAAATCTCTGTGTTTTCTTCCACACTGCTCCTTATGCAAGAAATTCCTATCCTGCACCACTCATTAAGGCTTCTACACTCTCCTTCAAATAACTCCTCAAGGCTCACCTCTTGCCGATGTCAGTTGTACCAATCAGTGCTGTCTCGATGGGGATCGTTGACATTTTATCTATTTAATATGCTATATATATAATTTACATATATATTTGACATTTAAAATGCTTTCTCTATTTGATTGCATCATTATCCCTACCTCACTTATCTCCTTAAACTGTAAACTCACTGGAGCAGGAACTGTGTCTTTGTACATGTTTTTAGATCATCTTCTAGTGCATTGGGGCAAGATTTTCATTGTGGCTTCTGTGGCAAAGTGCTGCAATCTAGCCCTCAACTCTTGGATTCCCCATCTTTTTACAGCCTGGATCATATTTACCCCATCTCTCACTTTAAAATTTACCAGTGCTACAACAAAGATGGGAACACAAAACTTGCTTGGCTAGGTGTATCTAACATAAGGAGGAGTGGATACCGGACCATAGCAAGGGCATTTTTATAGCAATTATTCTATTGAAGGTTGAATTAATTAGCATTTTTCTTGATTAAATGGATACATGATGTGCATAATGGCAAATGTAAATTATTGTGAAAGTGACTGAAAAAAGAAATAGAAAAAAATAAGTGGGAGGTTTTCCACAAAACCTTCAGGGCAAACAACAGCCTAGTATTGCTGTGGCCTGTGTTCTAGCTTAGGTAGGGATCTATGTAAGCATCATTTGCCATCTTCCATAATCTCCACTCAACTCATATTTAAAACTAGCTAGACTGAATCTGCCTCCTAAGAAAGGCTAACTGGAACAGTATTAAAATGCTTAAACCCAGACTACATTACAGCTTCAAACATAGGTAAAAATAGCACTGCTATTACATACACACTAAAGATGTTTATGAACATTTCTGTTGTAGACAGGGCTTTAGCATGTGTCTACATTAGTTTTCCCCAGACCCAGATTTCTCAGCTTCTGACAGCAATTGTGAGAATGGGTGCCAGCTACAGCTGGCCAAAATTCTTTGAAACCCAGTTCAATGAGAAATTGCCTTTTTCACAAACCAAGTATCTTCACATAACTATTATTTAAAATTCTTTAAAAGAGAAAACACCCTTATCTGTAAATTTTTGGTTTCCAGCCCCCTCCCTCTTTTTGCCTCCTTTCCCTCCTTCCTCCCTCACATTTCAGGTCTCACTATCCCCTTTTTTCCTTTTCCATCCCCCTTCTCAGTGGGGAAAAGCAAAAACAAAAAAGTTTTAAGAGATTTTTTCAATCCAAAAAATCAGAAAATGTCATTTTTCACTGTTGTATGAAGTGTTGTTGCAGCCATGTTGGTCCCAGAATGTTAAGAGCGCCTAGGTGGATGAGTGATGGATCTTGTGTTGTACCAACTGTTCCTTCTCTCTCACCAACAGAAGGTGGCCCGATAGAAGCTATTACCTCACCCACCTTGTCTCTCTAACATTTTTCACAAAACATACTCATTTTTCTGTCAGTTCTAGTGTCAACATTTAACCATGGTATTACATAAATCTGCTCAGAACATGAATGTAGGGAACTGTTAAGGGGAGGAGGAGGCTAGTACAGACAAGAATATGAGATGTCAACTGAGCTACAAATTATAGTATTGACATTGGGTCCCTTCATTAAGTTGTATTAATTCATGTGGACCAGAGGTGGCCTCTGGAAGTGAGGGTTGGGAAAGTGTGGACTGTTACTGTCTATTGTGTACCTGTCATGGGGATAATTAGTTTTCTTTGAGAGTCTCAGTAGGACACCTTCTTTCACTAGGACTACATTAACCTGAAAATTAAAAAGAAAAGTGTTGTATTTTTTTTTCTGGCATTACTCTTCATTTTAAATCTCTCTCTCTCCTTTTGAGTGATTCACCCTTATTGTGCATCACAAATGGGGCAAGTTAGGACATGAAGCTATTTAATCCATGGCCCAGTAAGAGAAATATTTCCATTTTCCAGACTCTGCATGTGTTTTATATGCAAGCCTTTTTCTTTTTAACCTGCCCATTGTCAAATAATGATTACAATGGTAAGTTGTTGGAGAGCACACAATGTATTGTATATTATATGGAATTAAAAGTTACAGCTGTCAGACTTTTAGCATCCACTGATGTATCTGGTTTGTTTTGTTTACAAATTTAAACACCAGTTATATTTATAAATGCAGTTTAAATCTATTAAAGGAACTGTTTCAGCCAAAAGATTGTGTGTTAAATGCAGTGTGCAAAGGGACACAAACTAGTCAGATGGAAGAAAAGTCGAATATTAAATACATTGTAATGCACATCCTACAGGAAGTGTGCTTACTTATCCTATTTATAGTTTGGATATCTTCCAGGTATAATGAATATTACAACAGTTAACAGCCACCTGCTGAACTTGTTGCTTATACCGTATTATTTTTTAAAAGTCACCGTGGTTCTATTTTTATTTCCTATTCGGCAGATGTTTGGCTCTTTTTGTGTGTGTACCAGGTGGCAACATTCCACTGCAACCTGTTTTGAATATTTAACTGGTGGCTTTTAGGACGCGACAGGAGATGGTTTCCATCAATTGACTTATCTTTATGCTCAGAATCCTTCTTGGGGCTTGATCCTGCTCCCCTTGGCGTTAATCGGAGTTCTGCCAGGTCTTCGAACGAGGGCAGGACTGGGTCCCTCCTTTATGCCCATCTCCGAGCTGCGTGGTCATTCTCCGGAGCGAGCAGGAACAAAAGCGCCACTCATGTTCATGGCGACGATTCCAATATTTCATGCAGATGGCCACATAATAGCCCATAGCTCTCTCCGGGACGTCGGCGCCGCCGCTGCTGAAAAATATTAGCAGCCAGCTTCCTTTTAGCCCTGCAGATCAAAGGCACTGACTGGGATCCACAATGCAAAGCCAAACCAAGGGCCCTTTTGTCTGGGGCTAAATGGGCGGCCTATAACTTACTACCTAGGACCTGGGTGCCCCATTCTCTGGCCTCGGAGGGCGGTGGGATCCTGGAGTGGAAGCAGCGGCTGCGCTAGAGGCGGACAGTTATAGGGGAGATCCCCCTCTTGGGGGCGCTTGCTGCAGGGTTACTGAGAGGATAGCAGCTGTTAAACTGCTGTAACACCACTCCAGTCTAAGCACAGGGCACCTGGAGGGGGAGGGATAGCTCAGTGGTTTGAGCATTGGCGCGCTAAACCCAGGGTTGCAAGTTCAATCCTTGAGGGGGCCATTTAGGGATCTGGGGCAAAAATTGGGGATTGGTCCTGCTTTGAGCAGGGGGTTGGACTAGATGACCTCCTGAGGTCTCTTCCAACTCGGATATTCTATTCTATGAGGCCCCCGCTTTGTCTTCCAACGCCGTTACCCTGAGGCTCCCTAGCAGTGGCTATTACCCCTGGACTACTAATCGGCTGATAATGTGGTGGGCCCAAGGACAACAGCCTCGGCCTTTGTTAGCTAATGGGCACCCCAGCCCACAGGCCCCCGCCCCGCTCAGGGCACTTCACGGGCTGCCCCCGGCTCCGCTGAGGTGCCAGGCTGACCTCTTTGATCTCGGCTGGGGTTGCAGCTTTGAAGGAGCCGCTCCCCGCTCCTCCCAGCCACAGCCAGGACTGGAGGGGGAGGTGAAACCGCCTCCTCCTTGGAGCTGCGGAGCGCTACACCAGCGCGATCGGGAGCTGGGGAAACCTTCCCTTGTCCCTTACCACGAGCAGCCCCAGGACCTCCCCTTGCAAAGGGCCCGGGGCCACGGGGGACCAGCTCGGCTGTGCCAGGTTTCCCACGCAGTCAGGCTGCAGAGGGGTTCAGCGAATTCCTCAGAGCTGCAGTGAGGCAAATAAAAGGGCACGTTCAGGCCAAATGCGAAGCCGTTCGTCTTCTTTTGTGCCTCTCCCCCTGCAAGCCCAGGGGCGTTGTCCATGCACACGGCGAACGAGCCCAGCATGGTGGGCAGCGGGTGGAAAAATCGCTGCTCCCTTCTGCAGCCTGACTGCAGGGTGAAGGTCGCTCATAAATCGCTGAGGCTTCTGACCTGGAATCATTCTCCAGCCCCAGTTAGTTCTGAGGACGAGCCCATAGGAAATAAATATGGTGAAAAGATTTAAATCTCACTAAAGGCTACAAGGTGCCCTTGAACTGACCTCCCCTTCACCAGTCACTGGTCTGATCTCTCTCCCCCGAACAGAAAGAGCGCTAGTTCTCCATAGGGCATTAGACAGACCAAATGCTGAGGGAAACACCGGGAAACTCTGGAAATAAACCAAATGGCAATGTAGAGATGACAATTAAAATGTCTCACTGTCCCTGTAACTGATCTAAATCAAAACCGTACTTAAAATGTCATCAGCCCCAATGGCCTCTCTTGTAAGGTTCTTGGTGTTTGCTAATCTCCTGCAGGGATGCTGTAAATATAACAACCAACAGGGGAGTGTGTTTGGGCCTCGGAACTTACCAGGATGCAAAGCAGGGGTCAGCAACGTGTCCCTACACAGACACAAGTGTGGGGGCACTCAACCTCGGGCGGCTCCCCGTCCCTGCTGTTGCCTGTGGAGGGGCGGCCAGGAGGCTCTGTAGGCACCCACCCCAAGCGCTGACCCTGCGGCTCCCAGCCTGTTGGCTGGGAACTGCGGCCAATGGGAGCTGCAGGGATGGGGCAGTGCACAGAGCCACCTGGCTGCGCCTCTGGGAAGGAGCTGGAGCGGGGATATGTCAGGAGCTGCTTAAGGTAAGCGCCGCCCAGAGCATGCACCGCTGACCCTGTCCCATGCCCCAACCCTCTGCCCCAGCCCTGATCCCCCTGCCACCCTCCAAACCCCTCAATCCCAGCCCGGAGCACCCGACTGTATCCCAAACTCCTCCTCTCCAGCTCCACCCCAGAGTCTGCAGCCCCAGCTGGAGCCCTCACACCCCCAACCTTCTGCTCCAGCCCAGAGCCCCCTCCCACACCCCAAACCCCACATTTCTGGCCCTACCCCAGAACCCACAGCCCCAGCCTATAGCCCATAGCCCTTCCCACGTGCCTACCCCCTGCTGCAGCCTGGAGCCTCCTCCTGCCCCACCACCACCGTCCATCATTAAGTCTGGTAATTTTGCCAAGTGTCCGTCATGCAACATGGTGGTGCTGTCCCCTGATTCAAACATGATTTTACATAAAGTTGAAGGCCAGAAGGGACCATTAGATCATCTAGTCCAGTGGCTCTCAACCTTTCTAGATTACTGTACCACTTTCAAGAGTCTGATTTGTCTTGTGTACTCTGTTTTACCTCACTTAAAAACTTACAAAATCAGTCATAAAAATACAAAAGTGTCACAACACATTATTGCTTACTTTCTAATTTATACCATACAATTATAAAATAAATCAGTGTATAGTATATAGAGTAGTATAAACAAATTGTCTATGAAATTTTAGTTTGTACTGACTTTGCTAGTGCTTTTAATCCAGCCTGTTGTAAAACTAGGCAAATAACTAGATGAGTTGATGTACCCCCTGGAAAACCTCTAAGTACCCCTAGGAGTACCCGTACTCCTGGTTGAGAACCACTGATGTAGTCTGACCTTGTGGATATCATAGGCCACTAAATTTTACCCAGTGGCTCCTGCACTGAACCCAGAAACTTGGGTTTAGCTGAAGCCTATCTTCCAGAAAGATATCCAGTCTTGATTTGAATACATCAGAAGACAGAGAATCCACCACTTCCTTTAAAGTAGCAAGCATTTTTTTGTTTAAACTGCAAAGAAAAAAGAAAAGCTATAACATTCTTGGGCTAACACAGTATTTAAACACTGTTATTGTTGTGTAGTTGGGGGTGGGGGGACAGGAGCAGACAGAGCTTCTATGCTAGCACATAGCCAGGACAACTCTGTTTTCCATATAGTGTCAAAATCACGGAGTTAGTTTGTGTGTGTCTAGACTACCAATTAAACAATTTCAGTGCTGACTCAGGGGGAACCAGTCAGCAAGAAAACAATTGTCAGAAATGGATCCATTTCCTAATACACACAAGGCTTAATTGCTGTGTGCACATCCATGCATTAGGAACTGGGTTCTACCTAGAATGGTTTTCAGATGGTAACATCAGATGTATCTACAAAAGGAAACTTCCACACAAAAATCCCACCCGGTCTATCACCAATTCAGAGGACATGGACTAGGAATTTGAATGAGACACCACACATTTCACTTTCATCCTCTGACATCTTTTATAAGGGATAACAAAAAGAGTCTTCCTTCAGCTAATATGTTAAATCAAGGTGGTGGTTGGTTGCTTTGTTTTGCCAGTCTTTGCTGAAGGATCAAAGTTTCCATGACAAATTCTTCTAAAATTACATTTAGCAAAGTACCTTAAGATAGATCCTCCTTGGTGGCTTGGATAACATTAAAGATACTCTTTAGTTACTCACCCAACTGCCTTTTAAAAAAAGATTATTACACAAAAATATAGCTGTGCAGTTAGTAACACATTTGTCACCCCTGAAAGTAATTTTCCTCTTTCAGATACTAAAAAAAAAAGTATTAATTTTTATTTTTCTTGAGTTTAGAACTAGCATTTGAGCAACAGGAAGTCAGCAATAGAGCATGCAACCAGATCTGGCACTCCTTAGGTCATTTATGACTCCCTGTGCCCATGTTGGTCTATACCAGCCAGTGCTGTTTTAAATTGCATTGGTCCTATAGATTAAAACATTTTATTGACTCTTCTCTTCTCTCCCCAGTGATAAATCTTATCCTTGAGCTGCCCCTAAATCATAGGCTAGCATATAGCCATATGAAATGAGAATACGTTTTTACCTTCCTTTTATCTTTCTAGTTCATTTTTCTCATCTTTCTTGCTTTCACTTGTCTTCACTCCATTTTTTTCTTCTGGTTCCCCACCTCCCATCCATTCTTTTCTCTTTCTTACCATATTCTGTTTCTATTTCCCCTTCCAATTATCTCCTCCCACTCATTCACTCTCTTGAGCAATGTCAAAACTACCCATACTTGGAATTGCGGGGGGTGGGGGGGGAACACTCAAGGGCATTTCTGGCAACCACCCACACCTGAAATGAATAAGCAGAAGTGTTGGAACTTTATCACAGATATCTTTTCATCCAAGTGTTCTTTAGGCATTTGAATTAAATAGGCGTTAACCCCCCTCTGAGCCCCCCATATGTTATAAACAGACTGACAAAACCCCACTGTGCTCAGGATTTGTCTCTTGCAATGCCATACATTTAACTACTTCTACAGTCTGCAGTATTGTGTGTCAAGGTCTTCAAGACCCGAGACTCTAGTGGACACATTTTAAAACATCTCTGCCCTCTTTCTCTTTTTCTGAGGGGAATAGAAAACCTTTCAGCCACTGCTCTTCCCCTCTTTTTGATATAGTATAAAGGAATACAAGCCTGATTTTATTTTACTTTTTTGGGTCACCTTCAACCTTGTTAAACACTCCTGTTTGTTGCTACAACCCTGCTCATCTGCCTTGTCTGCGCTAGGGACATTTTTCAGAAGTTTCTCACTATTATTGACCCTCCTGGTCACTCCATACTCATCCCCCAGTAGCTATAGAAAACCTGAAGCTTTGGCAGTCTGCTCCTGCAGCCATATAGCCCCGCCTGCTGAGAAAAGTCTGGTATGCATAGGGGTTTCAGACCCACAACATCTCTAGGTCTGAAGAGACACTCCCTCCTATAGTAAGATTAGGTTATAGGGGCTGAAGAGAACATAAGAGGCACCTTGGGTTCAGGAGAAGGAAAGGCATGGATACCTGCA